ATGACTCGTGTGACATCACTAGTCAAATTTATAATAATTAGGAAATTTTTGAATCTATACTTCATTAATTGGGCTATATAATTCATTACTTTATTTGCTTAGAATATTAATAATTCTTGTCCTAAACAAAATCACAATAATACAGTTTATAAGATGGATAAGATTAATAATCATTAAATTTATATAATTACCCATTATTATTTTATTTGCTAAAAGCGACAAGATGTAACAAGAAAAAAATGAGAGTTTTTTCTGATTAAAATGATCAGATCGCTTCTATTTAGATATTAAAATATAATAACCTTCTCAAGAATTTTTGGTTCCAAAACCAGAAGGGGTTGCTTTTATTCAGAGGTCGCATTTATTCTGTAATATTAGGTAATAAAGTTTAGAAAGAATGCAGAAATCATTATTAATCAAGTTATTCATTGTAATTGGCATTTGCAATCTTCTATTAATAGTGACAATATCAAAGTTTTATGAAACTTATATTATTAATGTGAAATATTCTGGGATGCATGATCACTACTAGTGATACAGTATAATCGTCCCAGATTGTTGTAGTTAGCTACGACATAAGCTTTAGCTAGTTAAGGTTTAAGCCCTGACATCATTGGGACGATTATACTGCATCACTAATCACTACATAATTGGAATATTCAATTAAGAAAACAAATAAAGCTAAGGATTCCAGGTTATGAAAAATTTCTAATAAAACTTGATTTATTTAAATGTGATGCTATATTTATAATCTAAATTATTTTAACATTTTTATTTGGCTGGAACGGAATAGAAAACCTTAGAGTGCTTTATTCTTAAGAAACAATTCGATCATCGGATTTATAAAAAAAGTATATTGCGATAACTACAGTTGATCTTCGTTAATATCAACCCATTTGGATCGCTTTTATATTTATATTGGTACAGCAGTGATATTAATGAGGGTCACATTTAAAGTTGACATATATGAGGGAATCTTAATATAATTTTAATATAGAAATTCATTTTATTAATGAGGTTGATGTCAACTGTATTTTGATGTGAAATTTTAAATTTTTTTGGAGGTATTTTTTTTAGGGCTGGGTTATTTTAGATTGTATTTTTGTAGATAATTAAATTTGATTTCAAATACTTTTGAATAAATTAAAAAGTAAGGAAAAAGTATTCTGCGCCTAATATACAGTATAACAATAAATTAACTAAGTATTTAAAATTATAGTTAATTATTCAAATACAACTATTTTAACATTATTAGTTGTATCTTCCTTAATATTTTTATTATCAGTTACTATCTTATTTTGTTGCATTGACTTTTCTTTTCTTTTTTTAACCAAGTTAAGAATAAACCCTTTCTATATTGATATTGATAAACGATCCATAAGCTTAAAATTTTATAGACTCTTTTACCTAAAATTACTAAGATGATAAATAAATAAATCGGGTAAGTTATAAACCACCCAAATATCAATAGCCACGATAATATAATAAGAGATTTATGGAAAGAACACCAATCATTTAGCCATGATTCTGAGACTTCGATATGATCACATGAAATTATTTGATATTTGATCTTTTAAGTACGGAAACGCAAGTAATATATAAGGGCAAGTTAATAATCTATGACAAATAAACAGTAGTTAGTTTTTTATAAATATTAAACTTATAAAAAAAATAATAGTTGTAATTACATATTCATTATAAATACAGAAATATAAATTTTAAATGATACCAGTCCCAAGAAAACGTAATAACGAAACAGGGACCGCAAAAAAAATTGAAGCAATTAATAGGGTAACTAATTATATTGCCAATTAGACCAGTAAATACCAGCCTACTATAAGATATTAATACAATAATTAGTATTGGAACTTAGATAAGAAAATATAAGAAAAATAAATTCATACTCATCGTAGCCATATTTTGCATATAGATCTGTATTGTTTCTATGAGCGTTTTTCTCCTTTAATATATCATCCGCTTTAAGATCTTCATAATATAGAAATGAAATTATTATGAGGATTGTGAAATTTAAATATGCAGCAATATTTAATAAATTAGATAGATCAATCGTAACAATTTACAGATATTTAAAGGATAATAAAAAAATATGTAGCATACCATAGATACTAAAAAGTACGAAAATCACAAGTACAAATATGCAGTTAATAATTAGAAGCCATGGGATAATTTTTACTGGTGCGGTTTGAACAAATTCATCATAAAAAGGTATTTTTCTTGGTTGACGTGGAATAATTTTAATATCTTCAAAGATGAAAAAGCATTGATATTTGCATGTTCTGTACTACTAAGTACATGGTAGTGCATCCATTCTTTAATTTCCATTACCGTTAATTATGCGTTCATTATTTAATTTCCCTTAATGTTTACATTGTGTATTGATAACATATTGGCATCTATTGTAATTGAACTATTACATTAGTCAAATTTATACGTAATAATCAGGAAATTTTTGAATCTATACTTTATTACTGGAGCTATATAATTTAATAATTATAATTCTTGCTCTAATCAAAATCACAAATAATACAGTTTATAAGACGGATAAGATTAACAATCATTAAAATTTATATAATTACACTATGTTATCTACTAAAAGCAACAAAATGTGACAAAATAAAAATGAGTGAGTTTTCTGACTAAAATGATCATATCGTTTCTATTTAAGTATTAAAATATAATAACTTTCTCAAGAATTTTTGATTCCAAAACCAGAAGAGGTTGCTTTTATTCAGAAATCGTCTTTATTCGGTAGTATAGGGTAATAAAATTTAGAAAGACAAATACATACAGAAATCAAGATTAATAAAAGTTCATCATTGAAATTGGTTTTTGCAATCTTCTATTAGCAGTGACAATATCAAAGTTTTTATGAAAATTTATATTATAATATGAAATATTCAACTGAATTAATATGTATGATCAAGGATTCCAGGCTATAAAAAATTCCACTAAAACTTGATAATTGTTAAATGTGATGTTATATTATTTTATCATTTTTATTGGACTGGAATGGAGTGGAGAACCTTATTCTTAAGAAACAATTCGGTCATCGATTGCTATAACTATTTTTGTAGAAGTAACTGATTAGTAATTGTCGCGGCTGATGCTGAGATTTAGACCTATTTTTGATATGAATTTTAAATTTTTTTGGAAGCATTTTTTTTTTAGGGCTGGGTTATTTTCATATTGTATTGTTGTAGCTAATTAAATTTTATTTCAACATTGCAGCAAATTTATGAAATACGCCCAAAATTTGAAAATTTTGATCACTACTGATTTTGGTCGAGATAATCAATGTTTCCCATGTTAAGGTGTGTCGTTATAATAAATTTATATATCTAATGAAATTCGTCATGAGTGGGGAAGATGGGTTAGACGCGTTATCTGAGGTTCAAAAAATTTTTTCGGGTTGGTACTGATTTATTAATATGTAATTTGGTAACTAAAGTTTAGTTTGGGGATAAAATACTCATTTTGTGATCAAATTTTAGCTAAATTTCATAAATTCACCGTGATGAATATCTTTGAGTCATATTTTTTAAATTAAAAAGCAAATATGTAAGTAAAAAATTTCTGTGCCTAATATATAACAATAATTAACTATGTGTTTAATTACAGTTTATTATTAAATACAACTATTTTAACATTATTAATTGTACCTTCTTTAATGTTCTTATTATCAGTTACTGACTCGTTTCGTTTTTTTAACCAAATTAAGAATAATCCCTTTATATATTGATATTGATAAATGACCCATAAGCTTAAAATCCTATAGACTCTTTTACCTAAAATCCTTAACATGATAAACAAATAAATCGAGAATCATTAGCCATGATAATATACTGTAATACGAAGTTTATGGAAAGTACACCAATCATTCAGCCATGAATCCGAAACTTCGATATGGTCACGTGAAATTATTTTATACTCAGGACCAACAATTTGATCTTTTAAGTAGTGCAAGCCCCAAACCTATGACAAAGTCAGTAGTTAGTTTTGTTATAAAGATTAAAATTTTATAAACTCTTTATAAAAAATAATTAAAAGATATGTAACATACTACAGATATCAAAAAATATGATACAAATAAGTGGTTAGTAATTAGAATCCATATAATAATTTTTGCTGGTACTGTTTGAACAAAATTCATAATAAAAAGATATTTTTCTTAGTTGACATGGAATCATTTTAATATCTTCCAACGAAATAGATATTTTTTAATCATAAATACGAACGTATATAGTTAGGATCTTATTGGAAAAAGCATTGATATTTATGTTTCCTTGTGTCTCTGTACTATTAAGTACACATAGTAGTGCGTCCATTCTTTAACTTCATTTACGTATTGGTATCTATTAAAGATAATATAAATTGAGCTAGACTAATGATTACTAGCTCCATTTGCTTTTCTTTCGAATAACCCTTATTTATATATGTTCAAGTAAAGAACATAATTATTTGTTGTTATTCATTCATCACATCAGTATAAAATTCATATCCAGGCCTGTATGAGATGAGCTTATATTTTAAAAATGAATTCTTATTAAATGACTCGTGCGAGGTACTATACATCACTAACAATTTATAATAGTTAGGAAATCCATACTTCATTACTGGAGACACAGTATATAATTCATTATTTTTTCAAATTATAAACATATAATTTTTCAGAAAAGGTAAAAAAAATTTCACTATGCAGTTACAGCTCATAAATTCAATGAAATTTAACCTTTTTTTTTTTTTTAGCCTCATTTGTATAGACTACGCATAGGTAACTTTGGTTATAAAGACATCTGTATAAGCCGGTAGCTTGTTATAATGGAGGTTATGTTAAACAGAAAATCAAATTGGTCTGGCCTAATTAACATTTCGGTTGGATGCGACATATACCAGAAATTGTATGATAAAGAAAATTTAATACCAAAAAGGTTTTAAGCTAAAAATGATGAATCCCGATAATTAAAGCATGTAATTAATTAATGTCTGGCTCTACATCCCAAAATTATGCTAAATTTGAGGTATAGAAATAATTAGCGAGTAAAATAATACATTAACACTCTTTTCGATTTATTTGGATTAACGATCTGCATAATGTTTTTGAGTTCCGTGAGTCCGTGAATACAAAATAAATAACTACTTTATGTCCGTCGTATTATTTTAAAAATTTATTTATCATAAAAAGGAAATATAAGAGTTCTAACATGAGTCCCACAAAATATAACGAAGATGAAGTGATACCCTCATCGTAATCACAGGACTCACGGGATTCAAAAAAAAAATTAGGCAGATCGTCGATCCAACTAAATTGAAAAGAGGTTCTAAAATATTAATTTATAAAGAAGAAGAAAAGTTATCGAGATGATGAGTTGAAGGTCAGCAAAAAGTTATAATAATATTGCAGGAATTTTCATAAATTACGAGACGCTAAAAAGTTGTCGATGTTGCTGAAATAAAATTTTGATGTCAGTCGACATCGGTAACTTACTGATTCTGACTTGATAACTCATCGATTTAGTCATCAAACACTTTAGTTGTTCCAGAATCCATGTAAACATCTGTTAATGGCAAGAAAATATGGTTAAAATGTTGGTTTTGTTTGAATCAGTATTTTTCTGTTTATACTGCGTATTATATAATTTCCGGAGCAATTAATCAACGATTATTTAACCGAATTTGATGTTATTGGTATTTTACAGCATGTTTTATTATTGCCATTACTAATCAAGTACGAAATTTCAAGCACATTTATTGAAATAAAGTTTAGAAGCTTGTTAATTTTAAGTAAATACTGACTTTAACAATTTTTTGTAGGTCGAATTTTTGAGCAATTTCATGTGTTGAAAGCTTCCATTATTTCAGAGAAGCATTCAGAATTTTCGTTTAATTCTACTGACTAACAAGAAAGTTTGTTATAAATTTCTACACAATGTATTGTATAGATTTGGTTCTCAAGAAGAAATCGATGAATTTTCTTGTTCACATAACAGTGAAAAAAAACAATGGATGATACAAGAGTTCATTATTACTTATAGTATTATTTCCAAAACATTAATTTTCTATGCATTAAATTGATACGACAATAGAAACTCCTATCCTAAAATACTTTATATATGGGATCGAGATTCACTAGTTTTTATTTAAAAAAAATATCCTCATGCTAACTCGTGCAAAGATTATTGATTCTTCAAATTCACTAAATTTGGTAAAAAAATTTGATAAGTGATCCTTCTCTTATTTCGAAATTCAAAAATTTTAAAATGAAATAAGTCACTCGTTATAATATATTTACCTATAATAAACATCATAATTTTTCATCAGTGATTTTCCGACAGATTCATATATCATGATTTGAAAAATAGATTCGAGAACCTGATGCTAAATTGAAGAGTCAAAAAATATAAAATTTATAATCCAAGAGAATAGTGAAAAAATATAGTTAATAGTAAATTAGAATTTAGAATAGCAGCATTCAAGAATTCTTATCTTGGCTAATAAAAATTGAGTCAAATCATAATAAATTTATAAAGAGCTGTCATTAAATTGATATGAGCGAAATGTTGAATACAGCCTTGGCGATTGGGCATATAAAATTGTGCTCATTGATAATTGGACATATAAAATTGCTTCATTAGACAATTGGATATAAAACTGTGCTCATTGGACACTTAGACATAAAATTTTATATGTTTAATCGAGTGAATCAGTAGAAACGTGCCAAATTTTTCCAAGTAAGTTTCTTTAACTTAGGTCATTCATACAAAGTTAAATAATTTCTCATATGAATTTTAAAAGTTCCTGCTTATCTGGCCTTTATTGCGTTTTGTAAAAAGATGTGGCCTCTGCAGGTCACAATGTTGTGTGGGAATCGGATATTATATCGATTTAATAATTTTATCAATTTCAAAGTAACCGTTTGAAAATATTTGACACGATTTTACTAACTCAAGGGTAACAAATAAATTACTACAATTACAGTATACTATACCGATTCCAGCATCTTTCCATGTGGATTTTCTATAAAAACAAGGTAATTCATAATTAATCGTAATGTAGAGATTTTAATATCCAATCAGAACTGTGGAGAAATGATTATCTAATCTAACATTTGCACAGATTGTATTTCGCGTATCATGTTGCTTACGTGATATATCCTCTAACTTCAAATTTTATTTGATATATTTTTTAAATAAATATATTAAAGAGGAATGGAAAAACAACAAGACTAAAATTACTTACCTCCGAATATTAGAGGATAAGAGGAAGATGGCTGAGTTACAAAATGAGACAAAGCCACGGCTTTATTTTAAACCATCCGAGCCAGCAGCCGAGAATTCTATAAAGATACTTACATGTATCGTCAATTAGAGCTCAGTTTCTATCAACGATCTCTTTAAACTTTTCACAAATAAGACATTAAGCAAGAAGTGTAATAACTGATATTGAGTATTCAACGGTAATTCACTTCTCTACATCTATATATAAAATTTAAAGTTATATACTAATTAAAGATCTTGCAGATAAGAAATTAGAAAAAAATTAAGCTGAAAGGTTGGTTACATATACTAGCTTACAAGGTAATTATGATCTTTTAATGCACATGATATAACCCAGTTTTTAATTTTTCAAATGACAGCTTAGAATTGTCATCTGCAATTATAAGAATGTCTTGTTGATCAGCCTAGCTGTTTTTGAAAGAAGCTCAAAAGTTACTAAACAGGAGTAATTAAAGAAGTAAGTAAATAAAATTTCTCAAGAATCGAAAGAAGTAATAGTTCTTTGATGCAAGTGAACAAAAGCGAACAAGGATTAAAATACTTTTATGAAAATGAAGAAACAATATGTTGTGAAAATTATCAAGAAAAATATGTATATAGTGAACTGTATAATCTTGAAAAAGAACTAAAACATGAACAGTAGGTTTAATGATATAACGCTATTGTATTTTATTAAAAAAAAAAACTATATTAACTTAAGATATTGATTAGTCCTGCCCATTCATTTGTTACCAATACAAGCAACGAATCATTATGAAAACATGAATTACTTGCTATAGTAGGTGTTCAGAAAGGGTGATATATGCTTTAGACATCAAAAATTAGCAAGTAAAATAAGCTTTTTCAAACTAGTAAGTTCTTTGTTTTTAAAAGAAATCTATTATTTTTATATGGTTTTATTTAATTTATAATTCATGAAAATATAAAACTTCTAACAATTCATGATGAAACTAACTCTCTTAGGTAGTAACAATAGATTTGCCGATTTAATCATTGATAATAATGGTAAGTTTTCTATTTCTAATAATTATTTCGAATGATAAATTCGATGAATTAAGTAGGATTTTATGTATAGAATTAAAAGAAATAAATTAAACCTCACAATTTTAAAAAAGATATATAATAGATCTATCCTAGAAGCTCCAGATTTGTTACAGGTTGTAATTGATAATTTTTGAAGTGTATGCTTAAAAGGATATTATTTTTCGTAATGATTGTGTAAAAGGAGGACACATACACAAAAAAAACATCGCTCAAAAAATATCAAAAAGGCTGTAAATGTAATTTATGAATTTATTGTTCAAGTCTTTTCTGTAATATGATATTTTTACAAGTCTTGTTCATTCCTTTATTATTGATCCGGATGACAAAACATATTATTGTTAATTATCAGTACAAACACATAATGGCATATACTCAGGTAATAGATTAATCTTGATATATGTTCATTAATAAATTAATATATTACTGTATTTATATATAATTTCTTTTGGCTCACATTATTTAGAGATGGAAGTACACTATCGCAACATTATTAAAAAGATTAACGATGAAAGACATAAAAAATTTGAAAGGACTGCATCGTGAAGAAGAAAGATGGAACGTCAAAAAAATTGTATGCTCAAATATGTATCTAGAGACATTACAATATTTGATCAGAAAACCTTACTAATGCAAAGTGTCGAAAAAATATAAAGGAGAGTTCGTTAACTCTTATTAGCAGGGTCTTAATCTCTAAATGCAATATTATAAGTGTATTACGATGGTTTAGTTCATTATTAGAATTAATATTTAAAATAATTTTATAAACTAGATCCAAAGATGGGATTATGATTGAAGTATCGCTCATATTGCCAACAAGTTTTATACATTTTAATAATTAAATCATGATCTAAGTCAGTTAAATTATAAATACGTACGTACGTATGTACTGTACGTGTAACAATAACAGATAAACTTAAATCTTTTCTCGTTGCACTATCGCTATATGAAAATTTTCTTTTGAAATTGAGAGAAAATTATTCCAACATCATGATGTTAAATCGTACATTCTGTACCTACTGACCTACTGACGTATCCTCTGAAAGTTCATCCCGGTTACACAAAAAACCAACATAATTTTATGCAAAGCATAATATACAGTAGCCTCTGAAATAGATATGCGACCCGTTATCCGTTTTTCTATTTAAAATTTAACGAATATCCGGATTCTTTATAATAATTTGTTATAAAATTAAATTAGAGAATATCCGGACCACATCTCTACTCTAAAAGTTTATCACTGTTACAGTATAACAGAAATGGTACGTCCGCTAATATAACAAACTAATCGTTTAAATTATGGTTTCGTGTAATGGTGATTAACTTTTCAAAAATACTGTATATTCTTCTATAGACACGTCAGAGGCTTTGTACCGACACATTAGCCTTCAATGATATGCACAGCCTTATTTTGTCTATGATCCGATTTTAAGATAAGAAATTTAACGATAATATGAAATTTTATTCGATATCCCGCTGTTTATTATATTCAGTATGATAATTAAACATGCTTTAATGATTTATGATTCTTCTAACAGATAGTAACCAAAAATAATAGTCTACTATTTATAAGCTAATCCAAAATAATGTTAAAATCAAAATTATAAAAAAAAAGTCTATTTCTGAGGTGACTGAAATTATGATGAGAAGTAATCAATCCAAATAAGACTACGGCCCCAAAGAAAAAATATAAATGATGTTTTGAATTTTGCTTATTGTCATATGCATATACAACGTAAAACCTTCCCTAAATAAACATTTTGCCTATATTTCTATGAAGGGTTGCTTTATATACATGTGCACAGAGTAAGAAATCACAAATTAGCTATTTCAAATTTCTAAATTTTATGTTATATAAATGTACGCCGATTTAAAATATTATTAATTATATAAAACCACATCTGCTTTTTTAAATGGCTTATCACATTATCAGTTATAGCCTTTGTGAATAATTATATCTATAGAGTTTTATTTACTATCACCGTACTTAATTGATCAACCATTCTATATGATTATCACAAGTAAAATTAAATCCAATAGGGATGCAATAGATGTCACTATTAACTGCCATAAGATATCAATAGTCAACAATCGGTATCATATTATCAGACATCAATAGGATAATATCCTATCGATAATATGATATCAATTGTTGACTATTGATATCCTCTTGACCTCTTTGGAGTCAAATTTGGCAGCTAATAGTGACGTCTATTGCATCTCTATTTTACTTGTATATTCACGTTATACAGTACCTAATTATCTACTAAATCTATTGGGTTGCTTAGAGTCTGATTTAGATCATCTCAGGATTTACTAGCGCAATACAATATATATATATATATATATATAGTTTTTTCAGACTATTTTTACTTTTATCTTCACTTTAATGTTGTACGCGAAATTAGTTTTTAAAATTTGAGATACAATATTGATTATAAACCTACATGAAAATGGTTTCCCACATTTCATCCCACGTTCGTATGAGCATAAACCTTCTAAAGAGTTGTTTCACTCTATTTATTGGTGAGAAAAAAGGACCAGTACAATTCGCTTTTCCAATGTGATAATAATGACATATACTGGATCACCATAATTGCACAGAGTACATTTATTAAAACATCAACTCCCACTCTTATAAATACACATCAAGAACAACAAACCGAATTAATGACTATAGAATTGACGAATAGATAGTACCTTTTAATACTAGAAACACTATCCAACATCAACGAAAAGCGCCAAGTCGCTTACTGCATTAAAAAATGTTTATCTTAAAGCATTGAACCAAGCTACTCATAAAATTATAATTAAATATTGAAAATGTATAAAATGGGCAGTATATCGAAATTATTGTTATTTATCACTTTATAGTGAAAAGGTAAAGTTATCTTGATCTATATTTCTCTCAAATTAATGATAGTATTAAATCTTATGAATTTAATGTTTTCTATAATTTACTATAATATTAGATTTCATTGCTTCATCTCTGTATTCGTGCTAATCTAGGAGATAAGTCAAGCAATTTAATTCATTAATATGTATATATTTACTATTTAATTTTTATTCTATCCATGTTAATTTAAATGTATAAAGAGCATCGTTTTACTGATAGCTTAACTTAATCATGTCGAGATTACATCAATTAAACTTTGAAGACCAAACCAATTTAGTTAAAACAACTCTAAATAACAGAACTCTTAAGACTTCATTCATTACCTTACACTGAATCATCTAATTATGCCACTTTCAACTATGTGTTAAAAAGTTATAACCTAATGTTAAGATTTATTAATTTGGATATACGCACTAATATTAACCATAGCTGCCACAACAAATTTGGACTGGCAGATTTTCGATTTTGATTGGCTAAGAGCGACGATCAAAAGATTAGGCCGGAATTACTCAGAATTTTACTAATGAAACCATAGCTGCCCATTACAGCTATTTTCATTATTCCTGGGACACCTATAAAAAACTTGCCAAAAAATTTTTCAGCCGGTAATTTTTTCGGCATAATAAAAATTGATATAATACTGTAATATATACATAATTTAAAATCAGGTGGCTAATTACACACATCTCTTGTTAGTTCAAAAAATATGGTATTTTCAAACCACATTCGCTGGCAAATTATTGGAAAAAATTTAGAAGGCCTATCAACTCGAAAAATTGCAAAACACTTAGGTGTTAGCAGGTCTTCTATAAGTCGGGTT